ATCAAGAAATTAATAAAGATTTTTTACATTTTAGTATTTAATTAGCATTTTTAGTATTTAAAAATATAATTAGAAATATTAAACACAGTTTTACTGTAAATTGTTGCTTGGAAAAAATGTTGAACAAAACGGCTGTACTTTGCCTTAAATTAAAAAAAAAATTGCAGAATATAAATTTTTTGCTTTTATATTTAGTAAAGATTGGTCAAGAAATTGTTCGAAGGATTATATAAAATTAACTAAACAGCTCTTTACGATGCGATAGGTAATCGCCGTTAAATAAACAAAAATCCGGTAGTGGCTTTATCGATATGACTCGTATGTATGGGTAATTAACGGTTTGTATGTGTACGTCAAAGTTTGCAGTTCTCTTCAGTCAAAGACGCGGAAGATCTGTTAGAGACGCTCGCGTTGTAGAATTGGAGGAAGCGCACCGATGACAAGCGGAAGTCTCGTTCGACCAAGTCAAAGGCCGAACAAAATTTTTCAACATGGAATCATATAGTTATTTCAAGTACAGAAAAGTCTGAAGAAAATTGAAAGTGGACTTTCTTTAGTAGACAATCTTTAAAACGCTCGTCACATTTTTAAACTATGAGAGCCGAAATAATTTATTTGCTTCTCATCATCGCTAGCATCCCTCCAGGCAAATGCGATCTCTTCATGAATTTTTTGCGCAGCGTATTTCAAGGAGGAAGGGTAAGTTATTATTGAAATGGCGGAATTAAAATATTGATTATATTTTTCACATTAATTGAAAGGAGAATGGATGAAACATGTGAACTTTTGCTCCCAATTGGAAAATAAAATAATGTAGGTAGGTTTTTTAAATAATTTTTGAGCTGCAGAACGACAAGTTTAAAAAAAATGAATCAACCAATATTCCATAAACATGAAGGGATTATAAAACATAAAATAAATAAATGAAGTGAGTAAATAAGCATAGATTTTTGTCATAAAAATATAATATAATCGTTTTTAATATTTTAATTCTCAAAAACCTTATAAATATATTATTATATCCGTGCGCACGTGTCAGATAGGTCTGGATAACGATTATATAAATTTTTCCTTAGGGCAGAAACGTGAAAATTTGTTGTATGTATGTGTATATGTGTATGCGTACATACATACATACATAAAAATCTTCACTTTTCACGTTCCCGTTTTAAAGAAAAAGTAATCGGTAAAATATAATCGATACTCCAAGCGAGTTGGCTCAAGTATCTGGCTATTGGAAGTTTGAAGAGCATCAATGTCAGCGCGTCAATGAAGTGAAGAGCGCGGTTTTTAGTTTTGGATTTGGAACAAACGTCTTTGACGTTTTGACGTTTCGGCGTTTCCGAACTATATTACGTTCTGTAATATAAGTTTGTTCGTATTAAACGAATTTTCTTCTTTCGTAAAATGGTATCTCTTTATTCTCGAATAAGAATGCGAGAGTTGAGCAAAAGTCTGAATTCGTTTCCTGGGCATAACAATATGACATTTTGTTATGATAGACTTGAAATAGAGAAGGAAATAAATGTACGAAAACTCAAAGAATGTAAAATGAGAATCAGATACACGTTTTGCACGTCATCTTCCCGCCTTCTGACTCTAGACTATAATGGTACGTCTCGGGAAGACGCTATTAGCACTACTTCTGTCATCCTATCTTCGTTGTTTATTAAACATGAAACAAGGATAGAATTTCAATAGCGCTAATATCGTCTCTCCGAACGCACTTTTTGTGCATTCAGACTAGAAGCATCAAGCGAATAGTACATGGTGGATTAAAGATTTATGAGTCTGAAGTTTTTTTTAGATGTCCACGGATAAGCTCCAGGGATGCGTTCAGACTATATAATAGAAGCATTAAGCGACAAGCAGCGAGCAGCAAAATCAATCAGCGAGGCGATACGGGCAGCTGCGTAAAAATATATTTTTACGCCGTTGATTGATTTTGCTGCTCGCTGCTTGATGCTTCTATTATAGTCTGAACGCATCCCTGGAGCTTATCCGTGGACATCTAAAAAAACTTCAGACTCATAAATCTTTAATTCTTAAATGCTATTGAGAACCCAAAAGAATCCAAGGCTTTTTCAATCGTATATATATTTTATAACCCCACTGTTAATCGAACTTCTGGCTCCATCCACTATTAGTTTAGATTCCCAATTGAAAATTACTAATTGAAAAGTTCGCGTCAAATCGATCTCTGTATAGCAGCCGAGTATAGGAACGTATTTCGAGGCGGGGTACAAAATATCCCCTCCTCCCCCCCGTGTGTCATTGCTTAAAATGTAGATATTCATGTATTTTTGAAATAAGCGGTTAATTATAATTGCATTAAATTGTCATTAATGGACTAGGATTTATTTATTAATGGACAGGATATTATAACATCCACTAATCATACAGTGCTATTTCTAATAAAAAATTGAGTTGGAAAGTCCTCTATCATTTTGCAGTTTACAAAATAGTTAACAAGACATTAATTTCCAAAGATTACCGAATAAACGGGTAAAATCGATATATAAGACAATTTTAAGATATCTTTCAATGTTCTTTGTGAAATATATCTTGAAGATATGTTTCTTAAAGAACTCTTAACGATATCTTAAAGTTGTTTTATACGTCGATTTTAGACATTTTACTCATTGGGTGACTAAAAAAAGATATTGCAAAGATTGGAAAATGAGTACTATACGACTAGTGGTCGTTATAATATCCTGTCCATTAATAAATAAATCCTAGTCCATTAATGACAATTTAATGGCGATTAACCTTTGTCCATTCCACTCATACCGTCGACATCAGCGTTATTCGATGTGCACCGCGGGGAGGTTGTGCGGTCGGATTTTGCATTTCATTTAGCTCTAAAAGGATTCAAATTCTACATATTACAAGCTCCGAGATTATTTGCATTCTTTGTTTTCCCGGGCCGGGCGCGCGTTCATTCGATCGATCGTGTCATTCCTCCGCGGTACACGTCGACTAATGCTGATGTTGAGGGTATGGGATTAACTACGTTTATGTGGCTCTATTTACGCCGAAATTATAACATCGATGTGATTGTAAATTGAGCCAGGTACAAATCGTTGACATCAAATATTAATTTTATATGTATATATATATAATCGGATTATATTATTTAAAAATGTACACATTTTACTTTCTGGTTGGGAATAAAATCGACGACTTTTACCTGTTCTCTATAGTAATGCACTAAGACGAGACAAGACGATATTTAAAAAAAAATTGTCTCGTCTCGCAAAAATATTGAAAAATTAATTCTCGTCTTGATCGCGTTATAGAGATCGAAAATAAATCTCGTCTCGATTTCGATATTCTTGAAAATATCGATATTTTTTACAAATTTTTTAATTTGAAAAATTAGTAAATTGAACGAATTTACCGTCAAGTTCGATTGCAATTATGCCTTCTCGTCCGGCTGGATACTACATCATATCTAGCCGGACGAGAACTGGCATAATTAGTAAATTGAATGAACTTATCGTGAAGTTCGATTGCAATTATGCCTTCTCGTCCGGCTGGATATGATGTAGTATCCAGCCGGACGAGAACTGGCATAATCTCTAATTAACTGCGTTCAGCGGAACACATCAGTTTTGCAACCGTTTTATGATTATCTGCTGAGATAGAATCATACCTCCAGAAGTACAATTCAATCAGTGCAAAGAAAACTTCCAACAGTTGCAAAATAAACGTTCTGCTGAACGCAATTATCGGAAAAAAGCAAACAACGTGTATAGTGGGTTGGCGGCGCGCGTATAAACGTATCACATAGTATAAACCAAGCATTGCTATGTACCAGACAAGAATATCGATGACTAACGAATATGAAAGGGAGGAAACATAATCTGATTATTCGTTTTCTCTCTAACAGAAAAAATGGGGAAACCGTTAATAGAGGCATAACCCATGTGCATATAGGATTAGCTTGGATCTACAATAGGTTTTTAAGCCTTAAGTGTCATAAGAAATGGATGAATCGCAGTCTTATTCTTCTCGTATTCGACTGTAATTGATTAATTTCTTACGGCTTAAAGCTTAAAATTATCACCTATTATATTGCTTATTCGATATTTTCGATATTCTTGAGCAGAGAATATTGAGCTTAGGAAGGCAATATTGTCTTGCATCTAAATTTATTAAATATCTATTATCTTGATATCGTCTTGATTTCAAAGTGAGACGAGACGAGAGTCTTGGAGTTTCGAAGGCCGCGGTCCGATTCACTTTCACAACGCTTAAAAATCATTTCATCCTTATTGTTTGTCAAATGTTAAACGAAGACAAACGATGTTCATGAGCGTTGTCAGCATGAATTGGACCACGGCCCTATATTGCATGTATAACTACCTTTGTCCCACTTTCTTCTTCATTTCAAGTAATTTTCTAAAATTAATTATAATACGCATTTTTATATTGATAAAATAATTTTGTTTATACAACTGGAAAATGTATCTAAAAACTTGCATATAACTATTATTAAATACCAAAATTCACTTTAATTAAAAATAACACTCTTTTTCTTATTTGATATTCCACTTACAATAAAATAATTTTGTATTGTGCAAAAAAGAAAAAACTTTATACAAATAGAAAAACATTAAAGTTATTCGAAATGTATAAATATGTGGATGTAAATATATATAGCACAGGCATGTGAGAAAAGAAATTTATTTCCAGCAATGTTAATTTTTGTGTAAACGAAAGTGAGAGCCGTCTTGCAATTGTTCACAAATTCTGTTGGTTTAGCTGACGAGCGAAGGTATTTTATCGCAAGAAGATTACCGAAAATATTTCAGCATGCAGGAGGCCACCGTACGCATCCGTATTATACGAGAAATCGTACGTGATTTGCGAAGCAAATATTGATTGGACGCGCTCGGTGCGCTCTGATGTACATCAAAGCCGTCGTACACAGCTCGATGTGAAACTGTGTGTTTAATACGAACAATCTTACGACAGTATAAACATGTTGTCAAACGATGGATGCCGCCGGCATGGGCAGGAGAGGCAAGAAGGGAAGCTCGCCGTTGCTTAGCGCTCGGCATCGCCGCGCTCACGTACGTCTCACCGCACCGCACCAAAGGACTCGCGCGATGGTCGCGCTACGTACATTCGTAATTACTAGACTGCGGAACTTTATGCAAAATACTTAACTGAATGTTTTGCATAAAATGCATATTTTGCAATTTTGTAAATTTACAGATGGCAATCTCAATCTTTTTACTTCACCTTTTAATAACTCTTTAACGAACAACGATTGACTGCTAAAACTGTCCGATAGTTAATATTCAGTTAAGTATTTTGCATAAAGTTCCGCAGTCTAGTAATTACATTATATAAGTAATAATAACACTGCAAAAATAGGACAAATACACACCATAATACTTCGATGAATAAAAATGTCGAAAGAGAGAAAGCAATGAAACCTATAGAAATCTAATTAATTTCTATTGTAATCTGTCGCTTCTTTAAATCGAAAGGAAAAAATTTTAAGAAAAAAGTATCCGAAAGAAATATAAATAATATCATTAGAAATAATATCATTAAAAATAATATCATTTATTGATATTTTTTCGTATTCTGATGAAATCATACTCTTCTAACAGGAAACGATACAGAATGGTGGAGAATATTTCTTTCGATTATACATTTTTCTTAAAATTTTTTCCTTTCGATTTAGAGAAGCGACAGATTACGATAGAAATTAATTAGATTTTCCGTAGATTTCCATAGGTTTTTCATCGCTTTCTCTCTTTCGACATTTTTATTCATCGAAGTTTGTTATGGTTTGTATTTGTCCTATTTTTGCAGTGTTATTATTACATATGTAGAGACCCTCTAATCAGAGTCGCGACACGAGGAACGGAGACTCTAGTTAGAGACACTCTTTTACGGTCTCTTTATATTAAAAGTCTCCATTTTCAGCAAAAATAACAAGAAAGAGAGAGGAATATGTTGTGTCTCTTTCTAACCTTCATAGTTCTTGTGTGAGTCATGATCCCGTAAGATACGTCTTTCTATAGTACGACTT